CAGTGTACATATGGCTGTTCATTCAAGGTACAGCAGTTTAGCTGCGCCCGTTCACATTGTAACGCAGAGTGTTGTTACTGCAGACAGGCTGTAGCAGACAGGGGGACTTAAGTGGACGATGTGCAGGAAAATGAATAAACATGCTGTTGCAGACTAATGGAAAGCAAAGGGATCAGTCAGAACAGAGGTCATTTACATATTCCACACACTTAAAAAAAGATGGTTCTTCAAGGGTTCTTTAGTAAACAAAATGGTAATATATTTAGAACCACGACACTCAAAGAACTGATTGCATGATTAAAGGGTTCTTTACATCATGACGGGCTTCTTCAGAGTGATGGAGAATGTGCTGTAGATGGTTTTATATAGAACCGTTTTGTAAAGGGTTCTATATAGCGTCAAAAAGGGTTCTTCTAGCATGACAAGCTTGACATCGTAACAATAACAGATATAGAACCCTTTTCAAAATGGCTTTATATAGAACTATCTACAGCACATTCTCCACCAATCTGAGGAACCATTTTGTGTTGCCAGGAACCCTTTTAATCATGCAAAGGGTTCTTTGATGGATCATGGTTCTATATAGAACCTTTATCTTGACTAAAGGTTGGAAGATGGTCATGTAAAAATAAATGATGACAGTCGTGGCCATTGCTTAGCAAATTTTGGGGGTGCTTTAGCTCCCCCAACTGTTATTCAGCCCCGCTCCCCTTCTCAAATAAGTGTACATTACTAGTTCAAATTATCTGTACTTTATTCTCATGCATTCTTCTTTAATCAACTGTGCCATCGCATCTCCAAATTTACAGTATACTGTCATAGTAGGGTGTGACCTGGGGGAGGCGCTGCTCCTGCTCAGTTGCATTCCCTCTGCTGTGCTACCAGAGATTTACTAACATAATGTGAAAAGTAGTACACCCAGCTTGGCCAATCATTTTAGACCTCTTAAGTTTTAAGCCAAATTACGTCAGACCTCGTAAGTTGCAAGCCAGTCATTTCAGACCTGTGGGAGGATTTTTGGTTTTACTCACTCTGCAAAGTAATGTGAGCTGGCAACCACTGACGCTGAAGACAGGAAAATAAACAATAAACCTTATTCAGAATCTATAATATAAAGAATGAAACAGTAAGCAGTGAAGATACCTACCTAGAATATGGAACTGTGGCAGATTATAGTCAGTTTAGCTGGCTGTTGGGTTTTTACTTGGTTGCTAACTAACTTAGGGTTCATAAGAGGCACAGAAAAGCGGTTAGCCTAACATTAACATTAGCTGGGTAGCTGAAAAGCCAACTAGTTTAAGAATTTGCAGAAACTTAACAGTGTGAGAGTGTGAACAAGCAACAGAGATAGAAATAATGCTGCTGAAAGCTCTTTATATTCTTTGTTATATTCTTTATATATATGTTTTTATACTTTCTTCAGTATTTGGAACCATGACACCAGTATTTGCCACATTTTTGTTTGTTTACAGTAACTTAATGTCAGTGAAAAAGTTATATTGTGTTGATCATAACACAATGTGAATTAAGAGAAATTAAGAGGCGGCAGCTGTCGAAGGCCAGTCAGAACATTTTTCTGATCTCTCATTATGTCCTTGAGTTCTTGTAAATCTGAGTTTAATAAAATAATGAGTTATTAAACATGGGAAAAGAGAGCGAGAAAGAAGCTAAAGGAGACTGACAGGGTGAAGGAGCCAATCTGATGGAGGTTAGCGATCAAGGAGAAAGCGAGGGAGAGTTGTTTAAGCTTTCGATTAAAATGAACACTGTATTTAATAGAACTTAATTGAGAAAATATTTGTCACTATGACCATGAAATTCTGTCACCTAGCTTTTTGAACATGCCTACAGAGCAAAATCACACTGATTGCACCAACTGATTCTGATTCACCAACTGATTGCAGACTCAACTGATCTATAATCTGTGTATTTGATTAATATATTTAGGACCTTGCAGTTTATCTAAGAGAGAGGAGATAGCATTGCTTATATATAGTGTTTAAGTCATATTAGCTCTGTGCTTAATACAAACTACAAAGAGACAGCTCTACTATGTGCCAATCTGACCAAACATCCATTTTTGATCATTTTTCTGGCTGTTGCTGCTTTAAAAGTCATAATGAAAAAAAAAAAATCTCCTGGGGGACCATACTCCAGACCCCATGGTACAGGCTTAGCCCCCATCCATAATCCTCTAGTGATGCCTCTGATGGTTGTTTTGGAAGACAACCTCAGGGAGAAGCAAAAACTCTAGTAAAAGGTAGAACATAAGGCCTTAAGGCTAGAAATGGAGCTGGATTGAGAGCAGCAGCAGTGCATTAGAGGTATGAATCTTGCTGCTGATGGAAAGGTGACAGTGTCCAGATGCTACAGAGCAAGCGAGGATAATGAAGAATGATGGAGGTTTGGGGGACTTTGGCACACGGACTACGCCACTTAACGTCCGTAAACGGACAGCAAACGCTCATCTTTCATCTCGCTTTGTCACTCATACTTTATATCAAAAACAAACCACTGCTTTTTTTCTATCCGTCATGCCTAGGGAGCTAGACAACAGAGACTGTTCCTGCTATCAGTACAGTGAAAAAAACAGTGCTTTGAGTAGTGCTTTTTGACATATTATAACAGAAAAACATATATTGTGACACTTCATGATATTCAGTGGAAAGCAAAGTGAAATGTAATATGGATCTTTTATGTACAGTGCCCTTCACAAATATTGCCACCACTGGTAAACATGTGGAAGATGTGCTATAAAAAAAAACTATCAGTCAAAATATTAACAAAAATCTAACCTTTGTTTGGAGTGCAATAATTGAAAAAAAACTTACCTTGAAATCAATATTTTTCATTTCATTTGTAGTAGAGATGTGCTGGTTGATTGTATATAAGTATAAATATATGATATATGTATAAAAAATGTAATATAATTGTACTCAAATATGTTTAAAAATATTTAGAAAGAAAACACAAAGTGTCATAGAGTATAATGTAATTTACACACAGTGTGAAAGTCAATAATAATTTAAATGATCAGATTTTATTTATGTTGAACGGATGTACACATTGCAGTCACATAAATTCAAAGCATTGTCTTTTGAGAATTCGACAAGAAGAGGCGTTTTAGCTTATGATCAGTGTAGTAATAACAGATGTATTTCAGGCAGAAAACTGATCCTCGACTATGCACATATTAAGTGCTTCACATTTACCCGTACATGATGTTTGTTATCTGCAGATCTGTATTGTGTAAGACCTTATACGTATTGGCAGATTAAAAGATTCTGATTCTTCTGGGTTTGAATGGTGCAATACTGAAGGCCAAACTAAAACCATGGCCAGCCGTTCTGTTATAATGAATGTGCTTTTTCTCTGCTAGTGGCAGAGTTCATACAGTAACACCAAAGTAATTAAAATCTGTCTGAGCTGTACAAAGCTGCCGCAACGAAGTGGCCGTATGGCCACTACTGCCGCACATATAGTCATTTATCATAGCTCCAGATTATACAGGCTTAGTTAGGCCAAGGTTCAAGGTTTTCAGTCACATCGAGGTTTTATAATAAGTAAGGATAAATTGCTATGAGGTTTATAGCTACAGCTTAGGAGAGTCTTCACTGTATGGCTGCATACACAATTTTGTGTCCTTCAAAAACACTCTTGCTGTTGACTTTGGTGAGAACAATGCGTTGATGGACAGCAGACAACATTACATGGCAGTACATGAAATAAAAATGCTTCATTGTCATTTTAAAAAGTTCACTTTTTGATGTTTTTTTGATGAGACATAACCAGGGTTCAGCCAATAGGAGGTGGTCTTAGAGGGGTGGGGGGACTTGAGTAGGTCGCGTCAACGATTAGCAAGAGAGAAAACAAACTAATCACTGATGTCAGCTCTCATCTGTAACTCTAGAAATCTATAACGCCTCATATTCAAAGCTGTACAATCCAACTGTGAAAATATATACAGATCCCTTCCAGAGCTGTACAGTCCAGCTGTAAAGATGTATCTGGGGCATGACCAATATGTACATTTTGTAGCTTGTATAAATTTTAAGGGGTTAAAAATTCTGACTTTAGATATTAAATTTCATAATCTAATAGTTTTAGTGTGCTATTGTCTGTCACATTTCTTAAACTCAAGTAAACAGCAGAAACCCATATATAATGTAAATTAAATTATATAAATATTGTAGCCCTTGGGAGGAAGCTACCCAGAAGTCATTAAAAAATTGGTATTTGTGTACCTTTTCATAACCTAATGTTTTAAAACAGAACAGGAATATAAAAAGCTGGAGACAAAATGGGGTATGTGTGGAGTGAATACACCTTAGAAATATACCATTTCAACAGATTATAGTACAATTATGTTCCCTATCTAAAGGTACTGCATATGGACCCTTGAGGGTGCCACCCCGGTGACAAGAGGTGACAGTTTAGTACCTTTTTTCTGAGAGTGTGTAAGCACTGCTCACATTCAGAGCTGTACAATCCAGCGCTAAAGATCTATAAGAATAGATCACATCCAGAGCACAACAATCCAGCACTAAAGATCTGTAAAAACAGATCACATCCAGAGCTGAACAATCCAGCTCTAAAGATCTGAAAAACAGATCACATCCAGAGCTGAACAATCCAGCTCTAAAGATCTATAGGAACAGATCACACCCAGAGCTGAACAATCCAGATCTATAAGAACAGATCACATCCAGGGCTGAACAGTCCAGCTCTAAGGATCTATAAGAACAGATCACATCCAGAGCTGAACAGTCCAGCTCTGAAGATCTATAAGAACAGATCACATCTTCGCTGCTGAAACATATCTGAATAAACGAATTCATTAATTGACAGGTTCAGCAGGTGTATTAGAGCAGGGAAATGACCAAACTGCTGGACCTCAGCTTTTAGTTCCCAACCTCTGCCTCACAGGTTCAGAATTAAATTAGATGCTGGTATTCCTCAACTTATTTTATTCTGTCTGCTCTCTCCTGTTGTTTTCCCAGGGAAATGGGCATGAAAGGGATTTCTTGGATGACAGACGGGTGTACATAATGGACGTCTATAATCGTTACATCTATCCAGGGGATGGATTTGCTAAGAGTAAGTCGAGGAGCATTCAAAGCATCATTCTCCAATCACATTACACAAAGCTATTATGTGAAGATGGCTGTACTGCTATGATATGAAAAAAAAAACGTAAAGCTGATTATTAAGGCTTTTAAAGCAATTTCACATGGCTGTAATCTGTATTTGCATACAATTGAGAGAGAGAGAGAGAGAGAGAGAGAGAGAGAGAGAGAGAAAAAACAAAACCTTTTGTAGAATTACGAGGCAAAACATTTACTCTCCTATAGGGGGCAGCCTCAGCATACCCTCGTACTGCTGTTCATTGCCTTCCAAACTGCTAGTTTCCTTCTCTTTATACCAAGCTTAGGGACTTTTCACAGTGTAAAAAGCCACAGTAAGGATAGAACTATCTTTATCCTGCTGCATCTGACTGTCTGGTTTGTCAGTTATAACTCCATTACTACCCAAAGACAGTACATACAGTAACAGGCAAAAGTTTGGACACCCATGTATGTTTTTCTGATTCTCAGAGATCTAATCTAAAGCTGTATGCTTCAATTCTTGAAATGGGTTTCTAAGACATATGGATGAATACAGGTCATTCTCAGCAGCTTTCGTGGTGTGAGCATATACTATATGTCTAAAAGTATCTAGACACATCTTCTAATTAGTGAATTCTGCTGAGCACAGCTTGTGTAATCTACATAGAAAAGTATTGCCAATAGAATGGAGCAGACACACATGAGCCTGAGGTCACCATACCCAGTGCCAAGCTTTGGCTAGAGGGGTATAAAGTTCTCCTGCATTGGGGTGTGGAGCAGTAGAACTGCATTCTCTGGCGTGATGGAGCCCCATCAAATACCTTTGGGATGAGGTGGAGTGGTGTTTGTGATCCAGAACTAATCTTGCAACATCAGTAGCGGACCCCACTGATGCACAGCAATGTTCCAACTTCTAGTGCAAAACCATCCCAGAAGAGTAGAGGCTGTTACTGCAGCAAAAGAAGACAAACACCCTATTAATACCCTCGATTTCAGAATTTCTAGTGTAGTGTATGTGGAAGTACTTCAAGTTAACTTAAAAAGCATTCCAGGTGGCTCCTGATGCAGCCGTTTGAGAGAATGGCAAGATTGTGCGAAGCTGAATCGAGGCAAAGGGGGTCAGCTTTGACGAAACTAAAATAAAAGATTGAATTTGAACATGTCTGTCGTACGAAAAGCTTGCATCTCTGAAATGATAACTTTATATGAAGGCAAAACCATTCTTTACGTTAACGTGCATCAGTGTAACGACGCAATTTTGGATTATGTCCATATCTGATGCATTGTTAAGCCTTACCAATCCAGTAGCTGTTAACTGATGGCTGTTCATCTCTACTTTTATTAAGCAACAACACAGATGAATTAAGCATTTTCATGTTTATTTGTATATTATATGTCATGATTTGTGCACATCCTTACCTAAGCATCGGGTCCATAATGCGCTTTTTTATTCATCTAAATCCCAATAATAACTGTCAACTGTGAATAAAGCCACATTAAACTTTGCTTTAAAATAATTTCTAGTTAACAATTACTGAGAATGTGATAAAGCAGAATTCCACTGATTTTCAAAATTTCTCTGTAGTCAAATGGATAAGATTTAAACAAATTCATTCAGATTGGTTTGATGTGAAATGCTCTGTTCTAGAGAAACTTCCCGAGTCAGAATGTTCACAATAGTGGTAATAGGAACCAGACATCTGAAGAGTTTAGTGCCTCTAGAACCTTTGATTAAAAGCATTGATTTAAATTAGTTCTGATGTAAGAATTTTGAAATTGGTGGAATTTCATCATGACCTTATTTGTATTTGTATAACCCTTGTTAGAACATGGCTGCATAAAATGTGCATATTAATTAATTAGCAAAATCTTACGATATAATTAAGAAGTAAAAGTCAAAGAGGAATTCAATTGTCGAGATGCAAACAAAGTCATTCAGAGTGGTTTACTGAAAGATGGTGCATTGTAGAGAAGCTTACTGACTTAAATTTCCTTACAGTGGTGGTGATAGGAGCCAGGAACCAGGGGTCACAATATCTACAAGACAAATATAGCCTTTTTGTGTACTATCTAATGAACGTACTTTAAAAATAACCCCATATGCCCATATCAAAACTATCACACATTGCATTTGTAACCATTTATTGTAATAAATTTCTGTGAGGTAGCTTTCAGAAGCATTAAACACTTTGGATGTCTGGTTCCTATAACCAGCACTGTGAACAATTAACTGGGCAAGATTCTCAAGAGGGGTGCATTTCTACATCAAACCACTCTAAATGACTTCCTTTACTTCTTAATTTAAATATGCAGGAGAAATCTGGTGGAATTCCCTTTTAAGCCTTCTCTTTGAGAAATCTTTTATTCACCATAGTTATTGTTGATTACTGCTAAAAAGCTGTGTTCTAGTAATAAAGAGTAATTGGCAGGCAGTTAATTACCAACTATTGGCTTGATAAGGATAAATGAGGTCATAATGGACAGCTGAAATATTGTGTAATAGATTATGATGCATAATATAAAAATAAAAGTGCACTGGAAACTGCTTTATTCACCTGAGTTAATGCTTATTAGAGTTCTAATGAGCAAGTTAATTAGCAACTACTGGATTTGATAAGGCTTGATAAGAACATTACAAGGGCATAATAACATCCCTCTATACTGAAGTATTACCAGAAATCTGCAGATAATGTAAAGAGAAGCTGACATTAAAAAAAAGATATTTTAATAGGACAGCGATGTAATAAACGTTGCCCACTCAGGCAGTATTCTGAGGCAGGAGGCACCCAGTCCGAATGGAATGTTTGTATAAAATGCTGCCTGCTGAGGTTCCTCTGTTTGGCCGTTTTTTGAAGGCTGTAGATATATCCTTTACTGCCTTACATATCCCATAATCCTTTGTGTTCACTTTGATGCGGTTAGAAAGAAATAGCAGAAAACACCAGCTCTGACACAGTGGACAGCACTGCCACTGACTTGTGAGACAGCACAGGCAGCAAGGCATCGAGACAGCTGCCATCAGTTTCAGACACAGCCACTGTGTGTACATCACAGTTGTGATGTCCACTATTATTCTAAAATGGAAAATAGTAAAAATAAAGAAAGATTCTTGGCCTGTATGTACTCTGCTGCCTGTCAGTTAAATGGCCTTGTAATGCTAATTCAGCACTTCCACTCTGGGCCTGGATGTAGTTTAATCGTTATTCTCCCTGACAAACTGAGTCGGGCTGTCAGAACGGAGAAAAGGTGCGCTTTCCCTTTCAACCTATCCACTTTTTAGTGCCTAAACAAAAGCTCTATTATATGAATTTGTATGTCAATCCTACATATTCATTTGAAGGTACAGCCTGGCTTCTCAAGATAAGGTGTGCTCGGCCCCGTTTCTCTTTGTTTTTCTTTACTTTCTCTCCGAGACATTTTCCCTCAGTGACATTTCACTGTGTTCAAAGACAAAGTGCCTTGCTTTTCAGACACTCGTGTTTTTTTTTCTCGTGTCTTCATCTGCAGTTAAAAGCACAAGAGACTAATTAGGTCTTAAAAGTGTCTAAAAGAGCAAGGCATTGTTCCTTACACTTTCCTTCCCTTTGTATCAGGCTTGAGGGAAATTTAAGGGGTTTGCACCCTGCTAAAAAAAAAAAAAACAGTGGAAAGGATGGAACTAGTTTTCCTATTTTTTTTCTTATTTTTTATTTGCATATAAAGAATCATTTAACAGTCACACTTCAGCAATATTTCAGTTCAGTTTTCCCCTTAGCACTAATGTAGTTGATCAGCTTCCACAAATATTTTTGTCTCTGTTAAACATTAGCAGAGCAGGCTGTAAAAAGCATTCTTTATTGCTTATCCTTGATTGAAATGAATGGAAGAAAAAACCTAAATCTTATCACAAATTAAAATTTTGCAAATTTCTGTGAGACACTGTTGTTGCCACCCCTAGAAATTCTTCTGAGTGAAAACTGAAGTATATTCCCATTCATATTTTATGTTTTAAAGTTCACCTGAGCGATTAGAAACTTAAAAGGAACTTAAAAGGCTTGACTTCCTATTTCACTGGGGTATAAATATGAGGTGACACAAATTCCCGATTTTAACAACCTCTCTTCCACTTGGCCTCATCATTTCTCCTCAGTAGAACCCCAGCACTGTTTTAAGGGCTATTCCATTACTTTATTAGCTGAAGCGAAGGGTGTTAGTTGAGCAGCAGTAGAACTTGCCCAGAAATCATTGCGTCCTGATGCATTTCCATTTGCAAACCCCAAAGTAATGGTGGAGAAAGCTGTTTAAAAGCTGTAGTAATAAACTACTTTAAAATGCTTAACATTTCAAAACAATAACATTCGATTTACTGGGCTTTGGGTTACAAACTCCTCCATCTGTTATCCATGATTGCTGATACAACTTTATCACTTTACTCTGCTAGCTGGCTCATTAGCATGCTAAAGTCTACATGGTTTACAAAAACAAAAAGAAAAGCATTACACTGCAGTTCTATCCCTAAGTTTATAGCCAGACAAAACAATTATTCACACATTATGTATGTAATGCTCAAACCTCTTAAAAAAACATAAGCTCACTGAGGCTAACCTGTCAAGGGCAAGTGCATTCCATTGACAAGCTCATTTCCACAATAATTCCACAATAATTAAGACGTTTAAAGCAACTGGACATGTTAACAATCTGTCAGAAGGAGGGTATACGTCTATTTTGACCCCATGGTCAGTGAGGAGGATGGTTTAAGTGGCCAAGGAATCTCAAAGGATCACAGCTTGGGCATTGCAGATGTTAGTTAGGTCATAAAAATAGAGGTTTTTGGCAACACACACCAGAAGTGGGTTTGGTGTAGAAAGATAGCCATGCAGAAGAGTACCTCACCCCCAGTGTGAAGTATGGTGGTGGATCTGAGAAGGTATGGGGCTGTTTTTCTTCCAAAGGCCCTGAACAACCTGTTCAGCTACACATCACTCACTCCATCAAGTACCAGCAGATATTAAATCAAAACCTGACTGCCTCAGTCAGGAAGCTTAAACTGAGCTATTCCAGCAGGACAATGATCCAACACAAAAATGGTTCACTGACTGTAGAATTAAAGTTTTGACATGGTCATCACGGTCCCCTGACTTAAACCCATAATAAGCCTGAGGGATGAGCTGAAGAGGAGACTTCACAAGGGTAGACCTTGGAATCTGAAGGATCTGGAGAGATTCTGTATGTAGCAATGGTCTCAGATCCAGGTGCTCTTCAGCCTCATTAAGCATTATAGGAGAAGACTCTTGAAGGACTGTTGTCTTTCCAAAAGAAAGCTGCCTACAATTCTGGCACACTTAGTTTGAGATAGTCATGATAAGATTGTTTTTTCTTTCAGTCATTGTACTTCAAATAAAGGCTAGATTTTGTATAATTTAAATGAAAGATGAACAGGATAAAGAATGTTTTTACAGCTTGTTTTGGTCATGTTCACCAGGGGTGCCAACATTTTGGAGGACTACACAGATCTAGTGTCCAAAGGTTTCCTTCTTTAGTTTTCATTACTCACTTGTGTTAATTCTCTTCAAGTTCTTAAGTAATTTCAAATAGACTTGCTTATGTAGTTTCAAACCTGTTACCTGTCTTGGGTCTTTCTAGGGGCCATTAAGAGGAAAGTGGAGCTGGACTGGGGTACGGAGGATACAGAGTATCTGCAGAAGGTGGAGCTGCACTGTGAGGGAGCGCTGAACGAGATCAGACCTGACATAATCGTCTACAACGCAGGCACAGACGTGCTGGACGGAGATCCACTCGGAGGCCTGGCCATTTCCCCACAGGTATGGCTCCTGATCTCTCAGCCACAGCGACACTAGACTTTCACAGTTTGCACTGCTTTCAGAAATGGGCGGGAACGAGGCTGGTCCAGAAAATTGGTGATGGGGGAAAAAAGCCCTGTTTGTGCAGCTAACTCGCCAATCATAAACAGTCACGACACAAAACTGAACATAATTACATCAGATAACTACATACTCGTGGGAAAATAGTACTGCGCTCTGAGTTGCCCCAAAAAGTGTAGATAATTGGCATGGTTGCTGGCAGTGAGGTGAGGTGTACAATTAGCAAGCTGGTTTATTCACTTACCATAAGCTGTAAAAACACCAGATTGAACGATATACGTGACACAGCACAGTACTGCACACTAATCTGTAGCAAAAAAGTGTAGAGAACTGGAGTGGTTGATGGCAGTGAGGACCTGTGTGCAGATGAAGTTAGCCATGGAGCTAACATAGTAGTTAGCAAGCTGGCTACCTCATCTAAAACAAACAGTAAAACCCCAAAGGTAAGTATAAATAAATAATAAATCAATAAATAATACAGTCTCCCATCTACGTTTTCCTCAGTCTCCTCAGTTTTGGAGGTTCAGTGCTAAGAAGTTCACAAGTAAAGCAGATGTTTGAGCTGCTGTGATGATGTAGTTGATTAGGTGGTTCTTTGTTGGTGTTGAGGAGGCATCAGTATGCTTTAAGCATTCACACTACACACCCTGAGATGCATTAGACCCCCTTCAAACCTCTACTTAGTAATGTCCATTTGTGATTGGTGACCCAAGACTCATGTTAATGCCAGGTGTGAATGGAGCCGCTGAAGGGTTCTGCTTTGTTGGCTCTGCTTGGCACTTTGGTTTATTTTTATTTTAAATGTTCAAATAATCGATCACTCATTTTTCTTTCAGGTTGCAGAAATTTACCACAAACCTACTCAAAATGGCTATTACTATTCTCCTTATCAACTAGACATAACCAGTAGATTGCAGATGGATTTTGGGTACACTTAACAGTTTAGCAGTAACTAACTAATTCACGAACTATAAACAGTAAAACACACAAGTATAAAGATAGTCAGGCTATAGCAGGGGTGCCAAACTGAGTTCCTTCCAGGCCACGGCTCTGCAGAGTTTAGCTTTCTGTCTATTAAAAACACCTTGATACAACTTATTAGTAGGGCTGGGACCACTTATCGATTTATCTGTTATTCTCAGTTTCTTCCATGAGTATATTTTATTGATTTTTTCTTCCCTTTTGTATGCATGAATGTTCTGTGCTCCAAACCATTATCAGTTATTTTATATCACACTGAAGCCTTCACATTACGTCCAGTGGGCTTTTTAATTTAATACTGAGAATGTAGGAAGAAGATGAAAATGAGCAGTGCAACAGTGAATAAGTTATAATTTTTCTTGTAGCCAGATACAGACATGCAGCCTGGGGAGTTCCACCATGAGCTTAAGCTCTGCAGCGGCACTGTCAATGTGTATGAGAGAAACCATGATCTCTGAAGTGAAAGCTGAAATTAGTGTTGTTTGTTTTCAAAACAGTTTTTCTTTTGCCTAAAGGCTTTGTCATCCCATCTAGCACACATGAAATCTGTCCAAAATATACAGAATATGTAACTGCAAAAAAATCTGTTTTAACATAATGAAAAAACATATTTATCCATAACTGTGATTATCAATTTATTTGTAACGAGCAAGACCTTCATGACTGTTAGAAGAGGGAAAATGAGGGAAATGAGGGACAATTTCTGCAGAGCTGTGGCCTGGAAGAACCCAGTATCACCCTCCTGGGCTAGACCATTTAAACCAGCCTCTGGACTGACAGCACCATGCAGTCTTACTTTTATGTTTTCATTTATTGCTGGGTTGGGAATAATTATAAAAATGTTGTGCCTAGAATTAGGCTTCCTCCAAAGCAGTTGTTCTATTGGTCAACGATGTAATTCTGCTAAAGCTGAATTTGAAATGAAGGTGTACAAATAAAATTCCACTACTGGAACTCTGACATGAAACTCTTATGAGAATTTCCACTGAAATTAATGTAATGGTCACTTGTGAAATTTTGCTGTCAAAATTTTCTGTGACCGGGTGGTTCTAATCCTGGATCTTTTGCTCTTGCCTGGTCGGCTCCTGTAGCCCCATCAATAATCTCATGAATCAGTTAGTCAGGTATGTCATGCAGAATGCAGAGCCCAGGGATATGGACTACTTTATTTGGAGGATTTTTAGGGAGCCTGAGGGAGTGATGTTAGTTCACAACAGCGTGATATTGAGTTGAGTGTGTTGTGGTATGGATTTATACATGAGGACAAGCTCCTCTATACCAAGCATATTTCACAAACACTAACAGTCAAATATACTACACATTTCAGTACATTGGGTGTAACTGTTTTCTTTTCATATCTGACAATGTTTTATGTCATTATAGTACTTTTTCAAGTTTATTACAATGTACAAAACAAATGTCAAAGTCAAATAATTCAATTAAAAAGCATCTATAAATGTTAGATTCCTCAGAATATCTTGCTTGTTTTAATAACAGCTTAAATGACAAGACAGTCCAAGAAATTGTAGACACTTTTCAATCAGCTTAAGGATGAGGACTCTTGAACTGAATCCTCAAGCCTCAATTGTGTTCAGTTAGCCTAAATCTGATTTATTTGCATATCAGTTTGAAATCTGATTGTTTCTATGAAATTTGAACAGTCACATGGAATCAGATGTTTACCATATTTATATTTCTCAAAACCCCTTTTATTTGATTTCATTTTTTTTTCCTCATTAGACATGATGGATATTTGCCAACAGCCTTTGTAGTGATGAAAGTCTTGAGTAGATACCTGTGTAATAAAGAATACTCATGGGGCTCCCAAGTGCTGCAACTATCTAAGCTTTAGCCCTCATTGGGAGATCGCGAGTTTGATCCTCGGTGATGCCACAGCCATCCATGGCCGGGAGTCCAAAACAGTATAACTGGCCTTGTTCTCTCTGGCTGGGTAGGATGGTCCTCCTCTCCTATCTGCCCGATGCTATGCAACATGTGCCTCATGTGTTAGCTGACGTAACAGAATTGGCAGTTAGTGTCTTCCTCAAGTGTGTCAAGCTGTCAAATGATGTTGGGTTAGCGGCAGTTTGAAAGCTTCACGTGTTTAATTTATACAGCACCTTCCTCAAACTCAAGGACACTTCACAACAATAACAAAACAACACCACAAACAAACATATACACACAGTTCCCCAGCTGGCAGGTGGAAAACTCTGGTGAAAACTCAAGAGGAAACTAGATCGTGGAATAAATCCTTAAAGTAAACTCTTTAGCCGAGGTGTACACTCTCACAACTGGGCCTAGGAAACATTATCCTGGAAAGAAACAGTCCAGAGTCAGGTAATCCTAAATAGTAATAATGAATAAACAGTTTCAGTTATGCAGTAAACACCCTGGACTAAGACCAGACTATATTATAGTACTGTGCATAAGTCAAAGACCACCCTTTATTTATTTCATTCAAATCAAAAAGGCAATTAAGTACGAGTTGTTGATTTTTTCAGGAGATATTTCTGAGGGGATTAGATACAGTGCCCTCTGCAAATATTGGCACCCGTGGTAAACATGGAAAAATGGGCTGTAAAAAAACATTCTTTATTGCTTAACCTTTGGCCTTTCATTCATAAAATATTAACAAATATAATCTTTATTTGAAGTACAATGATCATAGAAAAAACTAAATCTTATCATGAAATATTTTTCTCAAATCATGTGCCATAATTGTTGGCACCCCTTCATTTAATACTTTGTGCAGCCTCCATTTGCAAAGGTAAAGCTCTGAGTCTTCTCATACAGTGAGACTGGAAAATACATGGCAAAGGATCTGACACCATTAATCCAAACAGAACCACTCCAGATTGTCCAGATCCTCCTTTAGATTCCTTGGAATCTCCTCTTCAGGTCATTCCACATGTTTTCTATGGGGTTTAGGTCATGAGACTGGGTCATGGCAAAACCTTGATTCTGTGGTCAGTGAACCATTTTTCTGTTGATTTTGAGGTGTGCTTTGGATCTTTATCCTGCTGGAAGATCTAACAATAGCCCAGTTTAAGCTTAATGGCTGAGGCAGTCAGGTTTTCAATATCTGCTGTACCATGTATTCAAATAAGCTGCCCAGGGTATTTGGAAGAAAAACAGGCCCACAACATCACAGATCCACCACCATACTTCACAGTGGGGATGAGGTACTTTTCTCCATGGCTGTCTTTGTGTCTACGCCAAACTCATCTCTGGTGTTTGTTGCCAAAAACCTCTATTTTGGTCCCATCTGACCATCAGTCCCACTGAAAGTTCAAGTAATGTCTGGCAAACTGTAGGAGATTGAGTTTGTTGGTCCTTGACAGCAGAGGCTTTCTTGTGGCAACCACCTCAAACAGCTTGTAGTTATGTGGGTGGCGTCTGATTTTAGTTTGGAAGATGTTCTGACCCCAAGATCCGGCAATTCCCCAGCTGTGATCTTTAAAGACTCTTTGGCCACTTGAAGCATCCTCCTCACTTTTTGTGGGGTCAGTACAGACAGACAGGTTTTCTTGTAGCCTTTTCATGTTTGGGCAACTCTCTGGTCTACACTCTTAAAAAAAGATGTTTTTAGTAAAGAAAATGGTTCTATATAGCACCAAAAAGGGTTCCACTATTGTTACAAGTCAAATAACCCTTTTTCAGTACTTAAACAGAACTATATAGAAGATTGTAGTAATGGATGTCTGAAGGAATTTGGCCTGTGTGTCACCTCATATCTAAATCCCAGTGAAACAGGAAATCATGGCTGACCATTTCAGTGTTCCTAGGCACTCAGGTGAACTTTAAAACATAAAGTATGAAAGGAAATATAGTTCAATTACATTTCACACATTATAATTTCTAGGGATGCAAACACTTGTGGCACACATAGACATGATAAAAAATTATCATGAGATTTAAGCTTTCCGTTCAATCATTGTACTTCAAATAAAGGTGGATTTTTGTTAATAATTAGAATAAAAAGGTTAAAAAGATTCTTAAATTGACAATTACTTTCTTTAACTCTAAACCCTGGCTCTAATCCTAACCTCAAACTTAACCTCAACCCAAAACCTAAACCCAACCCTCACCCTGGTCCTAGCCCTAACCCTGATCCTAATCCTAACCCTCATCCCACCACTGTTTAGAATCAAATGAGTTCTAACAGATAGTTCGTTAACAATTTGAACATGTGTAGATAATCTATAGGGGGCATCTGGTTTTTTTCTTGACACTGAAAAATGAATTACTTAATGGCCATTTTGTCTGGAAAGCAAATAAAAGAAGGGTGTTGTTTGACTTTTGCTCAATATTGTACACAGGGCTTAACTAGGTTCAGGTAGGATTAAATAAAAGACCATAAGGTACAAGTGAATAAAAGCACCCACCAAGCTTCTGTGCATCAACCAAAACAAAAACAAATGGCAGAGAGGAGATTCAGCAGACCAGGCTGCAGTGTCAAAGGAAAAGAAAAACATGAAAACTGAATACAAAGTCATCAAAGATGCAAACAATAGCGGTGGGACGGGTCAGATTTCTTGTTCCTTGTACAGCTGAACAGCATTCTGGGAGATGAGCCAAGCATTGGCTATCATTGATGGCTAAAAATATTAGGCAAATACTTCATTACTGTAGCTATTTGGATAAGAACATGTAGATCTGAACTGCTCACTCTGAAAGAACACTGAGGACGGGTCAGTCCTAAAGGTCATATTTCAAAAGCAAATAAGAATTGCCCTATCTATGCTCCACCCACTGTGTAGCTACTGTTGCTTTACAGAATATTTGGTAAAAATTCCATTCGACATGATGAAACGTTGCATACAACTCACACACACACACACACACACATCATCTAAACCGCTTATCCTTCTGGGTTGTGGTGGGATGCGGAGCCTATCTCAGCTGTTGCATACAACTCACAATATGTAAATCAAATCTTTAGATCCCAGTGAAAACATGCCAAGCCACATAGGTGAAGATTAATCAGTCATGGCTGTTTGCTGTGGCTGTAAGGCAGAATGAGATTATACAACAAAAACAGTACACCTGTGTGAGGGGTGGAAATAACAAAAAATAGCTGTTGATAAAATGCATGTGAATATACATTTAATTTAAAACCACACTCTAAATGTAGATATTTTGACAAAAGAGTTGTTTGCTACAGTTTCAAATTAGATTTAATGAGGTTTTTACCAGTCTTCTGTAAAACATGTCCAAGCTCTTAACAGTAGCTACAATAAAAACACAGTTGTGGGCAAAGTATGGGTGGAATAATGAATAGCTCATTTATTCTCAGGTGGATGAAAAAGAGGACAATCAGTCTCATCCTCTTGAACTGACCATCAGCAAAGACAAACACAAAGGCAACCTCGAAAATGATGGTAATTGAAATGGTTTCCCCTTGAAATGCTTGCAAGCACATAAAAGGGCTTTCCTTCTGTATTCTCTAGCATTTGTTTGATTTCATAACAGCTGTAATGCACAGCAGTATAGACAAAATGAATATTATGTTACAGTCATATGCAAAGGTTTGGGTGTCCCTGATCAAAGTTTTGTTGATTTTCACTGTGTTCTCTGTAGAGGATGTGTTAACAAAACATGCTATCTGACATTTGCATATGACTGTGAGGTGTAAATATTGCTTTTTTTAATCTACTGGCACAGGTCATACCTGTGTCTGTTTCTATTGTTGTTTTGTTGTTTAAGGTACATTACATACTAATTGAAGTGCAATAAATTAGATAAGCTCTGTTCAAACTGGGTTAGTTTTACCTGGGGAGGTGCTTTAATTTAAGTGACTGTGAAAATCTTTGATTTTAATCCAGTATGATATGCAAAGTCAACGTTTTTTAGTCAAAGTCTGCTTTGTAATAATTCCGCTAATTGACAGTTTGCAAAATTCTAGCAAGTTGTGTTTCCTTTGGTTCCTGTCACTGTATTTTCAGCTCAAGCGCCCTGATAGCAACTTGTGCTAGAAGACTCAAAATTTCAATAGCACAAAGGATAATTAAGCACACAGAGGAGTATGTTTGAAAACAATACATTTAACTTACAACCCTGTTTCCAAAAGAGTTGGGATGCTGTGCAAAATGTAAATAAAAACAAAATGCAAAGATGTCCGAATAATTTAAATCCTATATTTATAAAATAGTAAAAAAATTGTTTAGTAAAATAGGCATCATATCAAATGTTGAATCTGAGAAATTTTATTGTTTTTTGGAAAATATATGCCCATTTTGAATTTGATGCCAGCAACATGTTTCAAAAAAGTTGGGACGGGGGTATGTTTACCACTGTGTTTCATCACCTCTTCTTTTAACAGCACTCTGTAAGTGTTTGAGAACTGAGGAACTGCTAATGGTTACAAAGTGAAATGTTCTTACTTCTTGCTTGATACAGGATTTCAGCTTCTTAACAGTTCCAGGTCTCCTTAGTCATATTTTTCATTTCATAATGTATCACATGTTTTCAATGGGTGACAGGTCTGGACTGCAGGCAGGCCAGTTTAGCAGAGTCATACTGTTGTAATACATGCAGATTGTGGTTTGGCATTGTCTTGCTGAAATAAGCAAAGCCTTCCCTTAAAAAGACGTCATCTGGATGGCAGCATATGTTGCTCCAAAACCTGCATATATCAGCATTAATGGTCCCTTCACAGATGTGCAAGTCACCCCTGCCATGTCACTAATGCACCGCCATAACATCCCAGATGCTGGCTTTTGAACTGTGTGCTGATAACAAGCCTGATGGTCTTAAGCCCAGAGGATGCAGTGTCCATGATTCCAGAAAGAATTTCAAATTTTGGTTCGTCAGACCACAGGACACTTTTCCACTTCACCTCAGTCCATTTTAAATTAGCTTGAGCCCAGAGAACATGGCGGCGTTCTTGCTATAAAGTTCTTTGTTATTCTTGAATTGTTGCACTATTTGTCTGTGCGGTCTTTCACAGAGTGGTGAACCCCTCCCCATCTTAACTTGTGAAAGACTCAACCTCTCTGAGATGCTTGTTTTATAGGCAATCATGTTGCTGACCTGTTGCCATTTAACCTAATTAGTTGTGAGATTTTCCACTAGATGTTTTTTAGCATTACACAACTTAACACAACAGTCTTTTTTTTGCCCCATCCCAACTTTGCTGAAACATGTTGCTGCCATCAAATTCAAAATGGGCAGATATTTTATATATAAAATTTACCAGTTTCAACATTTGATATGTTGTCTTTATACTATTTTCAATTAAATATAGGGTTTAATTGATTTGAACATCATTGCATTCTGTTTTTATCTTCTTTTTGCACAGCGTCCAGTTTTGATAATGGGGTTGTATATTCTATATCACAAGGTTGGAGTTGCTACTTTAAAAGTAGGTGACATAAGACTGTACGCAGAACAATGACTTTCTAGCATATTCAGATCTACTTAGAAGCAAAAATGTGGGATTGTAAGTTTAGAATGTGCTGTGTCAACAAATCTACAACTTGTTTCAATGAATTATGAATGAGAAATAATTGCTATATAATTATAACATGCATTTAAGATATGCAGCGATAACGGCAACTTCTAAAGGCTGATGTTAGCACGTTTAGCATGGCTCACTTGTTGCTCTTTGAAAAAAACAAACAAACAAACAAACAAAATGTTCTAAACTTTCAGGCCATGCCACATTTGTTTTTGTATGTAGAAGATGACAGACTTTCTAATGATTTGAATCTGTTCTTTCCCTCTCTCAGGGCATTGTGAAGAGAGATGAAATCGTCTTCAGGGCGGCGCGGAGGAGAGGGATCCCCATCCTGATGGTGACGTCAGGGGGCTACCAGAAGAAAACAGCTCGCATCATCGCTGACTCCATCCTAAACCTGCACAGGCAGCGTCTGATTGGTGGAGAGGTGCTGGATGGGGCGGGGCCTTCCATGGTGCCGGTCATGATGAGCAAGTCTGTTTCATCAGGGTCTACCCTCAATGCCATCTGACACCTCCTGATGAGCTTTGATTGGTTAATTTGTTTAACACATTAATCTCCAGGCTTATTACCCAGTTATTAATCTAAAAGCAATAGGCAAAACAAATCAAACGTATATTTGCGTAATGTTTGGTGAAAGAAGCTTCTTTAGCAAGTCTGTTTGAGAACACTTAACAGGCCATCATGGTCAGAAGCAAGGGTACGATGATTTAAGCATGCACGGTGCTAACTGGTGGGCTATTCATTGTTAGCTACATAGCCGTATAGCTCCAGTGCCAAACTAAAGAAGCAAGCTACAGACACCAAATGTGTCTTGGCTGTTCAACTACATTTAAGGTAATTATATAAACTGTATACATTTGATTTTTTTTTGCCAGACTATGGCTATTAAGCTTATTATACTTACAACTATGAAATATCTTTTGGTAATGGTACTTTATGGTACTAAAATGTAAGCTATGTAGTACTAAGAGTGAGGAATTGTTTCCAGGAGTTTAATGAGTTAACAGTGGTAGTCATTTTCATTCAGTAACAGAAGCATTTAGGCCTGAGTTAGATGAGGAAGATGTGAAATGTTAGATGTGTGACAGTTAGACGACGATGATTGGCCTAAACTCTTAAACCGCTTCAGCCTATGGTGCATTACTGTATAGTACATTAACTATGGATCAAACCTTTTTAGAATGTTTTATTTCTTTACTTTGGTACTTTATACAATGCTTATTTGCACATTATATCTTTGGGAATTCCACCTTAACCAATAAGGACAAAAGCCAATACAATTTGAAAGGAAATTTTAATTTTTTTGTCCATTGAGAAATTCTAAATTTACTGCTCTACCAAAATTTCTTCATTTCCAAATTAGGTGGTACCTCTATGGTTATGTCATTAATTTACTCATAGATTCCTGTCATTCTCTTGGTCTAATGTTTATCTCTAAGACTAAAATAAAGCTCCTTACAATTGAATAATTCTTAGATTTTAATTAGTGCTACCATAGTGTTAATGTTAACCTTAAATTATGTCCTGATGTTTTCTAGAAGCATCTTGTAGTGACCATTTAAAGGGGGATTCTCACAATTTTTCAAAAATTCAATTTTTGAGATGCAAAATCATTCAGAGTGGTTTGATGTGAAGTGGTTCATTGCAGAGAAACTTACCAACTTTGATTTCTTTGGAACAGTGGTGATAGGAACAAGGGGTCATGATGTGTACAACACAAATATAGTAATTTTACATACAGTACTTTACACAACCCCCAGTGGATCTATATGTAATGTTGATAAGGGTAAACTAGAGGTAAATCTGAAAATAAAAATAAAAATAAAAAAATTTAATCTCAAAACTGTCATAAAACAATGTCTCAGGCATCGGGCAGTGTATCCATAACCATTTTGTGTAATAACTTTATGTAATGTAGCTTTGAGATATTAAACATTGTAGACATTTTGTTCCATGAACATTTCTGACTTGGCAGTTTTCTCTGGAATGGCATATACACCACTCTGACTTTTTATACACCTTAATAATGATTTTAATTCTGCAGAATATTAGAGAAATGTGTGGAATTCCTTTTTTAGGGAAGTAGGTAGTATTTGGCAACACTGTATGTCAAGACAAGGACTGCTGTGAATGTGAGTGATAGTCTTTAGATTAGGAATGGGCGATACAACAATGTAATATTCTTCAAGACATCTTCGAGAGAGTCCTGACATTCAAGTCTGGTTCTAGAGCAATTTAAAAAAAGGCCTTGTCATCCATCTAGACATGATCTTGGAGGAATAAAAGGAAGCAAGTCAAGAAGCTATTCATGACCAGGTAAAAAATATTAGGAGTGAATTGCTTCCTACCCCACCATGGGCTCAATTCAGTAGTCAGATTCTTATCAATGAGTTAATAAGCACTTTATTGGTTTGGCTTTGTGGGTCTGACCCAATGTAACCCTCAAAAAGGGAAATGAATTGCACTTAATTAGTTGAAATGCACAGTAATGACCTGACCGGTGAACCCAATGTCTTTTGGTCTTCAAAAGTCTCTATATTACACTCCCACAGCGGTGTGATGAAGCAGATAAGGATATGATACAGCTTGAACGTGCTGTTCAACTGAAGTGCATGGCTGACTTCTCAGACATTTGACTTTTTTCAAGTCTTCATTTAAAAGGTGTCCTCCTTTAATGAGGACCATTGCAGGCCCGTTGACGTGGGTGGACCTCAGGGAGCCGTGCCCATCCAATTAGACTGCTAGGCCCATCCAAAAATAATCTGGTTGGCATATGATTTATATAAGGATTTTTTTTTTGTGAATTTGTCACAAATTAAATAATGGATTGATGGGCTCTTCCATCCAACAACGATTCGAGTACATGTACATTAGGCACTAAAACTTTTGCATATGGCTGTATATCCACCTACTTAGTTTACAGCACTTTAGCTCCACCCACTCAGCCTGAAGTTAGAGGGATTGTTTCAACACACACTGCTTTTTGAATGAGGTGCTATACAGGGCAGCCAATCAGAACAGCTCATTTACATGCATCAGTTTTAAAAGCACAGTAATAAAAACATTCAAAGGGATAAAGAGAGGTTGGAAAAGTTGGTCATGTAAAAATCAATTCCAACTCTTTTTTTGTACATAAAACTCCACAAATGACATAAATGGAATTAAATACTGGAAAAATTTAAGATATCAGGCCTCTAATACACTACACTGTAACTAAACCTGTGGTTAAGTGGCTTATAAGCTGGAGATTCATTAACATTCTTTGCTGTCCCACAGAAACCCTATTGCCCGGTTTATGACTTGGTTTTGGGAGATGGTGTGTAGGCCGTTAGAGCTCTAAGCTCCCACCCTACTCCACACCTCCCCCAGCAAGCCTTAAGCAAGTCCTCCCTCCTCATTCACCTCAACCCACTATCCATTCTGAGACATCTAGCAGTGAGGGAATATGAATTACAGGTGCGCATTCCTCATAGGTCATGCCTTTATCTCCTTAAAGCTGCTTGTGGCCTCTCCTGACCAGATGCAGCTGTTTACAGCCAGGAAGAGTTCATCCGAGTTTACCGCTCACAAACTGCCTCTAGCCTGAGGGAAGCCGACAACCTAATAATCACAAAACTTAAGAGTTTAACAAGACCGAAAGCACTCGACTGGGTAAGACATTTCCTCTTTCTTAGATGTAAAAGTTTCAGAGCGGTTATTTTTTTTATTTTTTTTTTTAAAGAGGTCCTTTTGTGTCTCCTGTCTTTTTGCTTTAATGCTCTGTTGCCGGAGGGAGCTTGGTAATAGCTCCTAATGAGTGTGATAAGACTGTGCACTCAAAGGGATGTGTACGAGGCCAAGATGAAAGATGCAAAGCCTTTAGGCGAGCCTTCAGCCTGATAGATTTATAATGGATTTCTGCAGTGAGATAGCAAAGACTGATTAGTTAGCACTTAGATGAGGAGGGAATGAAGGTGCTAGATTCAATACTTTATATGTGACCTTTCAGGTGTCATTTGGATGGACAGGTCAATAATAGCATCATTAGCAGTGTGTAATAATGATCATTAATGCCATCTTTCTTTATGAATAAGGTCTTACAACAGAGTTGTACGATGAAGTTGTGAAGTTATGCAGTGTTTATTTTCACTTTACCTGATCTAAAATTCAATTATAATGAAAAAAGTAAAGCACTGGACTATTATAAGTCCTTGAAAAAATTACAAATTACTGTCCTATCGAAATTTCTGACATTTGGTTGGACATGTCCTTATGTAATAATGGTAATCACTTTATTTAAAGGAACACATAGTGGGGGTTTATCAAGTTCTTGTTTGTTCAGTAAAGCCTATATTTGACACTTCTGTATGGTTTATGTACTATGCATTAAGTTTTATTCATTATGACCTGCATTAGTATGTAACTGGAGGTCTGTTAGGTGAAAATCACTATGAATTTCATTATTAGTTAAAGGGGAATTCCACCAAATTTCAGAATTTCTGGATAATTCAGTCATCAAGATGTAAACAAAGACATGTAGAGTGGTTTGATGTATAATGCGCCATTCTAAAGAAACTGACTGGGTCAGAAGTGTGGTGATGATAGGAACCAGAAGCATCTGAAGCATTTAATGGCTCTAAAAGCTACCTCTCAATGCTTTTAGAGGCATTATTTCAAATCTATTACTTGAAATAGCTACGAATATACTGCCCGAGTTTTATCATGTATTCCTGGGGGAAGGTGCATGCAGCTAGTTGTAAGACAAAGTAGTCCCAATTATTTTTTTTTAACCCTTTACCATCTGTTTTACCTTTCTCAACATTTACATATAAAAACTCTGAGAGGAGCCCACTGGGAGCCACTGCTCTCTGTGAAGTGAGGCATATCGTATAAAAGTCTAGAAATAAGGTAATTCATTTTGTAATATTCTTACAACAGTCTCAAATATGATAAATATATGATATATTGACTAGCTTTAAGATGTGTCTTGTCAAAAATATCATTTTTTGCAGTCTTTACTGTATATCCATAATGCTAGTTGACCCTGACAATATAACCTGTTATGAATACTACTTATTAAAGCAGTAAGAACATCAGCACATGGAGGTAATGGGAGGGAATGGTGGATAACATGGCTACAGTGTTTGGGATTTTTGAACTATAGAATTAAAACAAAACAGATTAGGATGTTTCTGAAATCCCAGACCTCCCATTATGTACTAATATGTGTAGTGATACATAAAGCCTAATGCAAAGTAAATAAACAATACAGAAATGTCAAATTTGGGTTCTGAGCAATGAACAAGACATCAATAAACCCCCAATATGTGTTACCTAAAATAAACCAATATCATGTTAATTAATCTAATCTTTCTCTGTGAATTCTAAGGTCTTACAAAGGACTTGTATTACTTTTTTTTTCTTTATTGATGTGGGTGATGTGTTTTTATTTATCCATAAGAATATAATCGAAACTGATTTCTGCACTAATTCTCCTCTCAGGGGAGCTTAATCCAACATGTTTGGGTGTGCAAGTTTTATGTGGTTCAATACTCATGTACTTCATTACTGTACTGTTTCCATGCATTACACATCGTGGCACCTTGTAAACAATTAACAAAAGTGCCAAATATGATATTTTATTTATGGATTCATGATTTTTTGTTTTTGTACCTGGCATTAACATTTATACCACTTCTATGTGAGAATGGGGCAAATAAATCAAACCTAATTATACGATTACGCTTGACATTGTGTGAGCTTGTGTTAGCCGTTAGCAATGATTTATGTTGGCTCTTTCTCTATTAGCTTGCCACCTCCAAATACATCCACCTTTATTGTTTGAAAGCTTCTCCACTCCTGAAGAATGTGATTAATGATGAGAGCACTCGTCTTCTGAGCAGGGCGAGAAAACGGGCTATACTATTTATCATCATTTCTTCCCACCATGTCTTTGTTAGCCTGTTTTGCGTTCAAGTGCAAAAGCACATATCATACATTTCCACTGATGAGGATTAATTGATAGGATGCAGATGGAAGTGCTGTGGAGTGAAACTTGAGATGCTCCCATCAGCAGATATGAGAGTATAACTAGTTTGTTGTGTGTTGAGAAATTTGCAGGCAGGCAGTAGAACACGAGAGTGCCGCCTTCAGCTCTTGCCTGCAGCCAAATCACGGCCATGCTGTTATTCGCGATAGCACATGACCTCAAATGTTCTACTGCTTTCATACAACAGCTTTGCAAAGTAAACTAAAAAGTAGGTTTCCAATGCACACTTTTAACTTCTACAAAAAGTGGTTCCAGCAATCACTGGTTTTACTTAGAAATTGGCAGCAAGCGAATGTGGAACCCTTTTCAACCAATCACATTAGGCCGCAATGAACTGTTGTATAGAATGGTGTGATGCACCAGTGCAAATGATTTTTAGAGAAATATAGATGGACATAATGTTGTAAATATAATGAATCTGTCTCAGACTTAACATCCAAGGGCCTAATCTCAATATCAAATAGCTGCCTATGTCCTCTATATATACTGGTGATACTTTCTCAGGGGGCACAACCTCAGTTTCATCTGGTGCATAAAGGCATTTTATGATCAGTAAATATAGTCTTTAGTAGCCTATAAACTATTTGCTTTTCAGACATAATTGTTGAGCATAGCATGTTTATTACACTTTACTGTGCTATAACCTATCACTTATGTCTACAGTAACTAGGTAGACTGTCTTCTAGTTTAGTCTCAAGACTCTCGACACCAGACATAAAGGGACTCAAAGTACATAAAACTGTCCCTTGTACATGTTCAGAAAACAAATCAAGGTAACACTTTAATTGAATGGTCCACTGTAGATGCTTTGCAGATGCTCAGTCTATCTTTAACATTCAACAGAATACCTAATAAATGCAACTGTACTGGAAGTTGTGTGTGAAAGATTCTATTAAATCATTCCCTAACCTTAAACCTAACCCTAACTTCAAGGCAAAACCTACACCTAGTTTTAAACCTGACCCTAAACTTAGTGTTGTGTAGAATCAACTAACTCTCACCAAGTTTGTTAATAATATAAGTATCTCTAGATCATCTATAGGGGACCATCCAAATAAAGTGTGACCCCAGTCAAGTTCATGTAAATGGGATTGACCCATTTTCAAAAAGTTCTCAAAGTATTAGCGATGAAAGAATGCAAACATTACATCTGCAAAAGCCAATAAAGTCAATTAAAAGAAAATGAACTGTGTTTTTTCAAGTCTCATGGGATTTCCACCTGGTATTACAAGACAAACTCCTAAATAAATTAAGTCTATTGTACTTAGAATATATATATCACATTACTTGACTGGCTGAACTTTTTTGAGAAGTTTATGTATTTATGTATTGATAAGTTTATGTTTTTGATATGTTAATGTTATGTAAATAGGATCTTTGAGTTGAGTCATCACATTGAAATTTAGTTTAGTCTGTTGACATTAGCAGCTGGCACAGGACACATGATTCTATTGGCTCATTGCATCTATTTTCATACTGGGGGTCTCTGGTTTTCCTCACCATCTCTGTGTTGTCTTTCCTCCTAGGCTTCCCGTGAGTATATGTTTATATTTCATATCAGCGGTCTCCAACCTTGGTCCTGGAGAGCTACCTTCCTGCAGAGTTTAGTTCCAACCTGTATCCAGTAAGCTGCTGCCCCACCCCTTACTTAACTCTAATGCATCAAATTCAACCTATCAGGGACTTGGGAAGAGCTTGAATGACTGGAGCAGGTGTGGCAAATTGTGGTTAGAACTGGGCTCTGCAGGAAGGTCTCCAGGTCCAGGGTTGGAGACCACAGTTCCATATTTTGGTTAATTGCCTAAATATCATTGGATGAAGATTGGCCTTGTTGTTGGTTGTAAGAGGGCATTACTATATTTTTTTTACTGTTGATTGTGGTTCTAAACTGACTTTTAAACAAACTTTAGAAAGATCATCTGGACCAAAAGAAGTTAAATCAATGCTAGTAATGGGTACAGTTGGAAATGTGATGGCAGATTATGTTTTGTCAATTTAAGTAAATTATGTTAGATCAATAAAACTGCCAAAATTTTGAAAGAAAGTCAATGAATTGCCAAAATCCTTTTCATACTTAAGTTAAAGAATGATTTTTTTAGTTTACCTTGTTTTTATTTACATATTACCTGAACATTTGTAAAAAAAAAATTTAGTCTGGTATAAATAAATAAATATTTTTTGACCAAATGCAATCATGTGTTGTGGGCAAGAAAATGGAAAATGCCCACATGTACTGCTGTATTGAGCAGACTGAAAGTCTGTTTTTCTGTTTCAGGTCCTATATTTTCCCCAAAGTGCTTCACACAGCTCTATAAAACAGTCCATTGAGCAGCTCTGACGTAGCCAGCTGGGCATGCCAGCAGCACCCACACTAAAGGCTCACTTTAGGATGATGTCATGGGTTATTTCAAGAAGGTCTTTATGAGTCAGCAAACAAATATCTGAGGTCATTTACGTCACACTACCTGTCCGTTCGAAGGTTAGAGAGCTACTCAAACACTCTTTTTTCTCCAAAGGCACCCTGCTGGCCAGCTTTTATAGGCCCTCATTACTGGTGCTGAACCTGTGTTTATAGAGGCTGAGGCAATGAGTGTGTCCACCAGATTTCACCTCACACACCCTGGCTTCAATAAGGTTTCACGCTGGAGCTCCTTTAACCAGGTGGCAGTGCATCCTTTACTCACACACGCTCTGCCCAGAAAGGAGAAGGCTTTTTAGTATATCTGACTAAAACTTATTACATCCAATATTACTAGAAGAACTAGAAAAGATGGGTGACAAATTAAAGGAAACACCTGAATAAATGAGCGATGAAACATAGCAAGACATAACAGATGCTTCCAGACATGTGTACTGCATGATACAGATAAGCAGTTAGCATCCTATCATGTTCTGTGGCAAATATGAAATGCTGAGCAGAACCTGTTGACCTTGATATTGGATGAAGATGGCAAGAGGAAAAGATCCAAGTGACTTTGAAAGGAGGTTCATTGGTGGATGGCAGAAGCTTCAGTCACAAAGAGTGCTCAACTAAAAAAAACAGTGACTAAAGTGATGCCTATGCGTAGATCTGTGGAAAAGACATCAGGACATCAGGGCTGGAAATTGTAGTCAAAACCACACATTTAGTATCAGTGCATTAGTGAGATTTGTAAGGAAAAACAGAAGAGCAACTGATCCTCAAGTGACTGAGAAAGTCATTGCAGAATGTGATCAGGCTGTGTCAGCTGCATAGAGATGGATGTTATAGTAGGGTTGCATTGCATAAACTGCTTATTACAATGAGTGCATTTACATGCACTCCATAATTCAATCATAATCGGATTTCTGCTGTTATCTGATTATTTAAATGGTCATGTAAACAGCATACTCTGATGTCTTAGATCGGAGTAAGCTCTCGAAATTCGATTGAGAAAAAGACATCTGGATTTTAGCTCAGTAATCAGATTTCTCAGTGCATGTAGACTTTTACTCTGATTTCTTTCGGATTTGTCTGTGCATGTGCGAAACAGATGGCGGTACTGTAAATAAGAAAGCGTTGCTGTGAGATGGCAGCAAAACACTTTTTTTGGATTGACGCTGAAACAAACTACATGCCTGAAGAAATTAAGGATTTAAATATTCTTCATTTTCTAGATGATGTATGTTTACATTTTCAGTTTTTTAAAAAAAGCTGCGGCATGAAGTTTGAGTTTTGTATTGAGTTTACGTCCTGTCCTCTTCTGTGAGTTTATTGGCTGGGTGCAAAGCGTAAATCTGATTACTGTCTGACTCATGTAGACCTGGAGTTTCCCATTATCTGAATACTCAAGAGCATGTAAACGTGTTGATCGGATTACTAACAAAATCTGATTTTCTGCAGTTATTGGATTATTAAGTGCATGTAAACACACTCAACGACGAACACCGTTTGAGAGTTTGGAAAACAATACAAAAAGCATTGCTACTGGTTAACAGAAATGTGGAAAAAACAAAGGTCCAAAGACTCATCCTTATCATCCTTATTCTTGAAGTGAGCTAGGCGTTGCACTACTGTTATTTTTTACTAGTCATACAAAAAGAGTGATCGACTAGTCTTTATTATGATTAAAAAATAAAATATGTGAGTGTTCCAGATGTCTGGAAACGGTATTCTGTTAATAGCTTGTTAATATTTTTAATATTCAGACTGTCTGATGTAAACTGCATGCTAAAATCCCTACAGCTCGCAGAATCTCACCTTTCATAGAGAATTTAAACTGGCTCTGGATATTATACGTCCGATGGGAAACAAATGCTAGCTAGCTAAATGTTGGTGCACTGCTATAGATAAGCCTTTCAGAGCAAGATAAAGGCCCAGTCACTGAACCAAAAACATTCATGACATCTCATTTTAAGAACTTATTCTTGAAGTTCTAGTTTGTTTTTGTTGTGCTCATGTCTAAATGTTTTGTAACTGGTCATTTTGTATGTCAGTCAAATGGCTCTTCCTACAGAGGTCCAGAGAGGCCATGAGGTAGTTATAATTTTCTGGATTGTTATTTTGAGATAACGATTTAATTATCTTGTTATCTCAAGATAACAAAATTATCTGAATTAAATAATGAGTTACTTATCTTGTTATCTCAAGATAACAACATTGTTATTTTGAAATAATGAGTTACTTATCTTGTTATCTCAAGATAACAATTCAGAAAATTCTATCAGCTCGTGA